GAGGATCTTGAGTGTAAAGCCAGCCTAGACTATGTACCAAGACTCTGTCTTTAAAACTTTGGAGGCTGCCCTCAAACTCTGTCTTCCTGCTTCAGCTTTTCATGTGCTCGGATTACAAGTACAAGCCATAGCACATGGCAGAAATCCTAGAATTCTTGATCCTTCACCAACAAACACAGTCCCCTCTCTTTCCAGAACTCCACAGGTCCCAAGGGGAGACAAGATTCACCCCACTTAGATTACAGTGTAGTCACCCTAGTCATCAGAAGAATAAGGCTGAAAATTCTTGGGGCCCGCAGCATCAGGCCTCAGGAACTTGACCAGAATCTTATTTCTCTGAGGAATCCATTCTGACCTGAGCTCTAATTTAATCAGAGAGATAAGTAAGTAAAGCCCTGAAGGGCCCTGTAGACCCCTATCCCCTTAAACCTCATGCAAGTTTCCTCTTGTCCTTGAAGGCCAGGGAGTGGTTTTTTTAAGAAGTGAAACATGAGGGTGAGGCAACCAGACCTTTCTTTACCAAGGCAGGAGAATATCCAAAGGAGAACCTAAAGAAATACCCTGAAAAGAGCATTCCATACAGATTAAACAGCTCCTCATTTCCACACACCAACAAGACCCACTGTGTTTCTGTATCAAAGTCCTTATGTATATTTATCCCTAAGATTTTGGCCATATCTAAGTATTACTTAGAACCATTGTTTCTCTAGCACGTTTCTTTAGATAAGCATTTTAGCTTTGCTACTTATTTTTAAAACACAGGTCTTTAGAAATCTTATTTTCTACATTTAATTCAATAGAAAACTCCATAGCATTTGCATAAATGGAAAATTTATAGGTATCAAAATACAGAGAGAATGGGAATATTAATAAGTATTACCTAAGATGGAAGTACTTGACAAAGAATCCTCCTGCAAGTTCTTGTCAGAGATGTCTGGAAAGCGGTCCCCAATGTTATAATATCTGGGAAATACTTTCCAGGAGATTTTGTTTCAGCTGCTCCTATAGGTTAACATTCCCCTGTGATTTTCTTTTAGCTCCACCTGTGAGAGTGACATTCTCTCAGCTCCCCCTATAGGTTAGAGGGTGGGATTATTAGCCAGAACAATTTTATTGAGTGACTATTCTTTTTCAGATACAGTGCTAACTGCTTGAGATACAGGAGAAAGGGAGAGATAAATGGTAATTGAGCACAGATGGAGAAAGCGGAGACTCTGTGATTAGAAGACATCTGACACAGACTAAACACACCAACAGTCTCCATTTTATGAGCCCATCTCTTTAAACTGGGACTAAAAGCACACTGGCAGAAATGTCTCTGGAGCTTCCAAATTATCAGATACAATGGGAAATTATCACCCCAACTGTTAATCGACTTTGTTAATCACGCCTTCCTTTGCTTTACCGAAGAATTTGGCTGCAGGGTTTCCTCCTATCTCCCTGCCCCCTCTCTCTTCTTTAACGAAACACCTAAATGCTGGGGCTTGCTGGGATCTTTCCCTTTGCCTTCTCCTCACGACCTCCCAGTGGAAGTCAGTGGAAGTCTGATCACATAGCTTCCACCTACACAGTAATCTAGACTCCCAGATCATAAGAGAACACACAAAGCCTGTTTCCCTCTCGAGTCTCATCCTCAGCTTTTATACCATTATTATATTTCTGTAGTGGAGCTTTGTTCAGCCTGTGTCCTGATGCCTGTTTCTATCCCAAGTTTGTTCAAGATTCAGTCTCAAGCCATCAAGTTACATCATTTAGGGGATTAGACTGAAGATTTGGCCCCAGCCTTCATTCCACCTGCTGAAAAGCCTTGTGGAACCGCAGCCCTTGCTTTTAATGCCACAAACAACTCTACTCCATCCCCTTTTATCATCATCATCATCATCATCATCATCATCATCATCATCATCATCAACCATCATCATTAATCAGATAAGGTCTATGTTTGGGCCTGGTGGCACAAACCTGTAATCCAAGCACTTGAGCTCTATGGCCAGAAAAAAAAATCTGTCTCAAAAGAAACAAACAAACAACAGAAAGAAAAATTGAGCACAGTCAAACATAATTTAAAAGGAACTTGGAGATGTATGCATTAGCCACTGTTATGTAAAACAATTTCCTTTTTTTAAGACCCTTTTTTCCCCTTCTGTAGTGACACCAATGCACGGAGTCAAAAGGATCAGTCCTTGAAGAGAGGTTTTGCTACAGAGAAAGCCCAAGTAGAGGCTGGCAGGAAACTGGTGACATATCGTTAAAAGAACTAAATTACTTTGTGGATAAAATAGTTGGGTTTCTGCAATACGGTGGTGGCACATGCCTATAATCCCAGAACTCAGGAGACAGAAGCAGGTGAGTTCCAGACCAGCCTGGTTTACAGAGGAAATTTCAGGCCAGCCAGGGCTACACAGAGAAAACCTGTCTCAAAAAAAATATCAGGTTTCTGTCAGAAAATGGAGTTACAAAAATGTTTAGTGAAGACCCTGGAATGACCCTTGTGATGGTGAATTGGAATCAGAGGTACTAATATGAACTCATGACTTTTTATTTTGTTTCGTTTTGTTTTGTTTTATTGAGACAGGGTCTAAATAGCCTAGGCTGGACTGGAACTCGAAATCCTCTTGCCTTACTTTCCTGAATGCTAGGATTCCAAGTGTGTGTCTCAACAAGCAAACTCACTATTTTCAATAGACAGACATATAGTGTGTACATGTACATGTATGTGGTATACATATACATGTATTCTTCTGGGTTCTGAGGCATTTGAACAATTACAGCTTGGGGGCAACAATGATCATACCTAAGTGCCCTTGCCTACTTTTTAAAATCACTTTCTATCAAATGAATCAGAGCTCCTTGGAGAAATGGTTCATCCCAGGTGCTAGGGCATGGAAAGTATGACTCTGGGATATTATGTAACCAACTGCTGAAAACCAGTGTATGGCAAAAGGACATAGGAGGGGGTGAACAGATGGCTGCAACCCAAGTTGTGTTGCCAGCACCTTTATCAGGCAGCTCACAACTACCTGTTACTACAGCTCCAGGGGATCCAATGTTCCAATGTTTTCCTTTGGCCTCTGAAGGAAGCCACACACACTTGTATGCACACACACACACAGACACACACACACACATAAATACATTTTTCATTAATCACTTTACAGCCTGATCAAAGCCCCTCCTTACTCTATTTCCAGTCCTACTTCTAACACTAACTCCATCCCCCAACCCCTTCTTTTCAGAGAAGAGACTCTCCCCATGGGTACCAACCCACCCTGGCACATCAAGTCATAGGAGGATTAAATGTATCCTCTCCCACTGAAGGCAGACAAGGAAGCCCAGTTAGAGGAAAGAGATCCAAAGGCAGGCAACAGAGTCATAGAGAGCCCCTACTCCCATTGTTAGGAGAGCCACATGATGACCAAGCTGAATATCTGCTACATATGTGTAGGGGGTCTAGGTCCACCAACCATACATGCTTTTTGGTTGGTGGTTCAGTCTGTGAGCTTCCCATGGGCCCAGGTTAGTTTACTCTGTAGGTCTTGGTGTCCTTGACCCTCTCTAGCTACCTCAATCCTTTCCCCAACTCTTCCACAAGACACAAGATTGTTTGCTTTGGTTCTTTACATCTGTTTCTATCAGCTGCTGGATGAAGCCTCTCAAAAGACAGTAATGTTAGGCTCCTGTCTGCAAGCATAGCAGAGTATCATTAGTAGTGTTGGCTCTCTCCTATGGAGTGGGTCTCAAGTTGGGCCAATCACTGGTTGGCCTTTCCCTCAATCTCTGCTCCATCTTAATCCCTACACTTCTTGTATGCAAAACAAATTTTGGGTTGAAGTTTTTATGGGTGGGTTGGAGTCCTCCTCCCTCCACTGGAAGCTCTACCTGCCTAAAGTAGGTGGTCACATATCTCCCCACTGCTGCTAGGAGTCCTGCTCAGACTCCAGGGAGTCTACCTTGTCTCAGAGATGAACCCCCACCAATTTCTGTTCTCTCTCCCAGGCCTCCCTCCCTCCCTCCCTCCCCACACCTGATCCTCACACTGTCTCCCACCCAGACTCTTTCCTCTATCTGCTTCAGATGTCTCTTTTATTTCCCCTTCTGAGTGAGAATCAAGCATGCTTCAGAAATTACACAAACACACACACACACAGAGGGCAGGGGACCATATATTTAAAAAGATAAAATAAATGTGGTTTAATATTCAAAACTGGGAACTAAGGTGAAGAATATATGGAAAGTCTTTGAGTACTTGCAGTTTTTCTGGATTTATGAAATTATTTCAAAATGTTAAGCCTTTTAAAAGTAAGTTGTCATAAAATGTCTCCATGAACTGTCCAGGGTGACCATGACCATACATGCTATCTGATTGCCTTTCCTCAGGTGTTACTCTACTACACTGCCTATTCCAACTTCTGAAATGTGTTTTCCCCCCACTTATATTCCATTTTAATTTTTTATTGATTCTTTGGGAATTTTACATCATGTAACCCAATCCCCATTTATTTTCCAGTCCATGTTTGCTCTCTACCCTTGTAACCTCCATCACCCAAAAGGAAATAAAATAAACAAACAAAATGTTTGCTTTATTTTTAAAATGTTTTTTTTAACAATACCAAAATTAAAATCAAGTGTTTATAATGTGAACCATGTACTAAAGTTTTTATTTTTGGCTGTTTATAGAGGCTTATAAAGGTTTTTTTTTTTCTTTTTAAGATAAAATAAACCAAAAGAAAGCAAGAAATACATGGCCATGGCAAAAAGTTATCTAAACTGTTAAATGTGATAAAATAGTCTTGAAAAATTGACAGATCATGTGGAGAGGCATCTTCTCTACTGGGATAGACAGCTTGGACTTGAAAATAGCTACCTATTAGTTCTCTTGTATGAAGGATAATCTTTTACTCAAAACTTGACCTGCTCCTAGAAACAGAGAATAAGCTCCTGGAATATGGTGACAGAAAATAATTATAAACAGCAACAAGAGAAGCAGACCTTTAAAACTCTTGTCTTTTTAAATATGTATATATACTTTATTAAATTCACATTCTTAAGATAGACACTAGGTCAACATTTCACAAAACTTTCTATTATTCCAAAAGCAGTTATCATAAAACAGTGGTTTATAAGTCGGTCAAGCAAAACCAGGATCTATAGGATTTTATTATGTTTTCATTTCTTGTACTAGTTTTCAAATAGAAGCTTAAAATATATGATATAATATGAGAATAGGAAGAAAGAAATTTGGTTTATAACAACAACTGCATTTCAAATATTAGACTTTATATAAAAATAAATGGGTACTGTCAACAAAGCTGCTCTGTGGATTAGCATATTACCTGTCTTTTGTTTATTTCAAAACAATCCCTGCCCAAACTTAGCTTTCTAGTCCATTTAAACAATATGTGGGGCAACAATAACAAAAGGATAGTTTACAAAGGAAAAGACAATGTGGCAAAAAAAAAAAATCATAGGAAAAAGTGGGGATTGACAGAGGTGGGAGAGATATGTGAGAGGGTGAAGAATGAGAATAATCAGAATGAATTATATACATGTGTAAAATCTGCAAAAGAACAACTTTAAAACATTAAATTAAATCCATTGATAAAAGTTGGCTTAAAACTGTAAAGTGAATCTTCCTGACCCTTTGATCTCATCACACCATTTCAATTTGCTGCTCTGGTTTTACCTTGCCACTGAATTTTTAATATAACTTTAAATATCACATTTCAAAGGTTACTTCTTAAAAGTCCCAAATTTGGATACAAAATTTGAACTGAAAAGAGTTCCTTTAAGGCAAATAAGACAGAAGAATGAAGGCAAACCAGTTTCTTGAAAGACAAAGTCATCTCTTATTATTTTGAAAGCAAAAGCTGTTGAATATGTTTCATTAACAGAGTGGATATACCAAGTGCTATCAAAGAAATGTTTCTTTAAAACAGCACACAAGTGGGCAATTCTTGTAACAGTACATTTACATTAGGTTTGAAGGATTATGAGCTTTTCACAGCTAAAGCAACATGGGAACTAAAGCCAGTAATAGCTGTTGTGACAGTGATTACAATGTTAACTTGAGAACAGGCCTAATTCTATAATCACTGCTGCAAGCTAAGTGATGCTCTCTAATGATTAGAAGAGAGGTTTTGCTTCAAGCTCACCAACTTCTAGCCTGAAGATTCCTTCAAACCACCTCTAAGGATTTTAGATTTCAAAAGACTTAAGTTTAATCATTTTCTGCTTGTTCCTTACATCCACTTAAATGTGAATATAAAAACAATTAGTCCATCTACCATGTTGAACATTAAAAGGAAGATAACAACACAGTCTACGTAGTGTAATAAATAATAAATAATGTAACAAACCATCAAACTTGGATTTCTTAAATATCTTAGTCAGGAGTTTCCACTTGTAAAAATGACAGCATATTTTACGTCTCACTGCATATACACTGCATAGAGCTCAGAAGACTTCTGGAAGCAGAGGGCACAGTAGCATTTAACTTTACAGCTCCTCAAAGCTTCCTTACGGATATTACACTGCCCTCTATAAGGCAACAAGAACAAGAACTGGGTTCTGACTCTAGCACAACACAATAACCAAAAATACCAGGTAACTACATGACAAAACAAACTCAATGACAAAAAGGAATCAGAAAAAAATCCAACAAAATAGCACTCACATACAGAAAGCGTCCACTTCCAAAAGACCCTATGATACATATCCCCTATAGGACAGCAATGTACCCCAAGGCACCTAAGGCCTCATAATACTATCTGAGACATTGACAGCTTCATGAACGCTTGCTTTTATACAGTCGTTTGTGTAAATAACTATTCGTTCATTTGTAGATGTTCCACATATCTGGTCAAGGCAAGAATTTCTTCTCCTTGATAACACCACCTAGAAATATCAACAATATTTTATATATTCCTTAGGGCACCAAGTTTGGGGAGGGAAACAGCAACTGTGGTAGCTAAGTCCTAAGAACCTGAGGTGATTAATGTAGGCATTCTCTAAGTCCATTAACATTCTCCACTCTAAAAGCAGTCTTCACTGCATACATCCCAACAGCAAAGAAGCAGTAACAGTGGTGATGGAAGCGACTATGGGTTTCTTCCCCTCTGTGAGAAATGGCAAGGAAGCAGCTCAAACAGGCAAGGGAAACAAAACAATGTACTTTAAAGCTGATGCAGAAAAAAAATGAAAATTTGATGTAATCAAAAGCAATCTGAATATTACTATGAAATAAAGAGATGGGAAAGTGTGTAGTCACCAAGAATTTTTATAAATCTCTCAAGCAACAAAATTTCTGATCAACTGTTATGTTACTGCTAGGGAAAAGAACAATCATAGAAAATATGCTTTAGTGCTCCCCTTAAGTGCGTGAAGATAGGTGCTCTTTGAGGCACTAGGGAAAAAATCCACCAAACAATCAAAAATGTGTATTTGAGATTTTGACATTTAGTCATCAAACACAAAATGAGGTCAGCCCAAACAAATGTTAGTAAGGTAACTATGCTTGCAAAATTGAACTTTAAAGGCGAGGTGCCCAGAAATGAGCATCAGAACGGTTGCAATTTGCCAGACTTTAATCCCCATTATGGAACAAAGTTCTCCACATTCCTCACTGAATGGTTTATGTGGGAAATAGTTAGAACACTGAATCAGAAATGGGTAAGTCACTTGGATGAGAAATCATCCATCAAGACGAACGAAGAGCATGAAGTGGAGCATGCTACTGGAGACTCTGCGGGACCGCTGCCTGTGGCCAATGAGTCTGAGGACAAGCGACCGCTGACACTACTGCCATCCAAAATATCAGAACTGAGGACAAAGCAAAAACAATTATAAGCGAATGCATGTATTAGGATACACATAGCATGCAATGACGTGATTTCAAGGACGCACACATCAATACACATTGGTAAATACTAGGAAGCATAAAGGCCACAGCAATGAAATGTATAAGGTACTGGGCTGAGAAGCCTGTGAAATTCACAAAACCACAGAAACCCCAAAGTAAGACCTGCAATGTCCTGTATACTTCTATTATCCCTCTGGAGGTGCCTGACTATCTAATATATGATATGTACTCCTCTTGATATGCCATGCTTATTGTATGTGTGTGGGTGGGGGAGGGGTTCCTGACCTTCCATCTTTATATTTATCTTCTTACCTGTGCAGAGACTTAAAGCAAGAATAACTGATGTTTACTAAGGTACCTATTCTCAAGCTAGCTGAAGTGTGCCTTCACACATATTACTTCTATTTTTTCCACTGCCCTAAAACTGACCATTTTGTTTGCCTACTCCCTAGAGGCTTCAATGCAAATATTTTTAATGATTTCCTCCCATTAATTTTTCCCATTCTTCTCATCTTAGGAATTTGTTATATTGTTTCCTTTCAGACCCAAAGATCTCCTTGCTATCTAAAAGAGACTCCTTTTCTTACCCCTCTCAGTTACTCTACAGTTAAGCTTCTAAAATGCTCTCTCTCCTCATGGTCCTCATCACGTCTCTTTAATCCAAACAACTGGCCTCTGTTCTCATCTTCCCTCCAAAACTGATCTGGACAGCAAGTGCCTCCATAAGCCATCCCAGGAATATGCTTCCCATCCAGCCCAGATGCTCAGTGTTCCCAGGTATCAACTTTGGCCTGCCTTGAAAACAGGGCTTCTTTGCACTTTACGCAAAACCTAGAACTTTTGCTTGACATCAAGTTGTCTTTCTTACTTCAATTCCCAGGGATCTTAGATCTGGGCCGTGTACTTGCCTTGACTTTACTCATTCACTTATTCTAATATTTACTAAGTGCCTGCTAAGTGTAGAAGGTATATAGACAGTTAAAGGACAATGGTGTGAAGGACAGACAAGGTCCCCGGGCTCACTGAATTTACAGGAGAGTGGAGAAGACAGAGACTTAAATAATCAGGCTCATGCAAAACATAATTACACTTTGTGATGTGAGTAAAAAAGGGCAGAAGGGACAGGGGGCTATGAGTTTGACCTATGGGGAACCTGATCTAACCTGGAGGAACTGTGAAAGGATGCTCAGAGGTGAGACTTGCATTCTGGTGGAAAAGACGAGTAGGTATTACCTCTGGAAGGTGTAGGAAGAAGCAAAGATAGTTCTGGGAATTAAAAGCAGGTGAGTACAGAGGCAGTACAGAGTCAAGAGAACACAGTGAGAGACAAACTGGAGGAGTTGTCCAGCAGTTTAAGTTTACACAGACACTCTTTTTATATTTTGAAATGGAAGAAAAACAGAATTATAGGAATTGTGACTCAAGGAAATACGTGATCTAGTCTGTCACTAGCTCCGTGGCAAAACCCCTTTGTTCTAATACATGAAATCAAAATATTACACCTCTAATATTATTTTTGTAAGTTTCCAAGCTGATGTATTTTCATTATAAAGAAGCTCAGAGTACATTTGTAAGTCTCAGGCCTACGCCATCCTCCTAAAAGGCAACTTTTCCTTTCCCGCCTTTCTACTCACTACTTTTGAAATGTCATTTCTTTCTTTCATGATTTTACCTGCAGTGCTAAGGGTGGGACTCAGGCCCTCATGTATGCTGGGCAAGCACATTACCACTGAAGCTACACCACAGCCCCCTCTGTCATCTCTTTCTATTGCCTGTGGGTTGTTTTTAGGTGGAGACAGATTACAAATAGGTTTTGGAAGAGTAAAAACAAAAAATGGAAACAGTATACTCCACATTGCTCCTACACTATACACACTGCTATCAAATGCATCATTAATAATACCACTTTAAGTAAAATGTCTGGAAAAGTTAGTTGCCTCTGATATTCGTTCTACCACATAGCAAAATGGTCCAAAATATGAATTATTCAACAACTGAAAAAAAAGTTGCACAAATAATTTAAGACACTGGAAAATCAAAATAACCTTTTTATTTGCCTTTCTATTTGGAACATATGTGAATTTTTCCCTGAAGCTTTTTGCCTAGACTAATATTAAAATCAATTTACTTTCCTAAGGCACATACTGGCTGAGCAGCACAAGGGCATGCTCTATTCCATTTGGCAGGAAGAAAAAAACTTAGATTAAAATTTGGCCACCATGCAGATAATCTGAAGATAAAGAAAGAATTCCTTATTGCAAACAGCAGAATGACAGTGAGCCCAGGATTAGAAGATTTCATTTTTAACAAGAGCTGCTCGCTTAGGTGACTCTTGTATTCATTCCCAAAACACAAAATAAGAGTGTGCAGGAAATGTTTTTCTTAACATTGTTGATTACTTACTAGAAAAAAAACTAACAGAGACATTACCAATTAGAAAAAAACAAACAAAAACGAACTTTTCAAAATGTCTCTCTACCATTACACATAAAAGTCTCTAATTTTTCTCACTGTTGGAAAATGGCAAAGCTACATTTTTATTTCTGCTGCAATTAGCTTCAAAACTTAGTAGTGCTTAAAAAGTAGATATTGTCACTGAACTAAGATCCAGATTCTGTTCTAGTTAGCGTGGCAGGACATGGAAGAAAAGGTCAGAGGCCATGTTACCCCATCATTAATTAGATCCATGTAGAGCAGGACTTGTGTAACCATGTACTCCACAGGAATCACTGTGTGCATATTACTTTTATTGATCAACATTACATCTTATACCAGAGTTTCTAAAAACGATAGAGTCTGGTCCAAATTGAGTTTCTTACTTTCTCACATGTCTGATCAGAGTGCTAATGATAATGAGCCTTACTTCCAAAAGCCAGACAATCATGAGAGAGCAAAGATAATTCAGACTAGACTGACATAGGACTATCTGAATGCAAAGTGAACTATGTGAATTCAAAGTGAACTAATTCACACCAGCCAGGACTGGTGTGGAAATATAGCTCAGTGGGTAAGGGTACTTGCTGCCAAGCCTGATGACCTGGGTTCAAAGGACAGAACCAACTCCTGAAAGTTTTCTTCTGATTTCCACATGTGCATGCCCATACACAAATAAAGAATTGTAGAAAAATCACCTAGGCATGGTGGCACATGCCTGTAGTCCCAGCATTTTAGAGGTAGAAGTAGGAGCATCAGGAGTTCAAGGTCATCATCCTTGGCTACATAGTAAGTTTAAGGCTAGCTTTAGATAAAGAGTAAGAATTCTATGTAAAAAAAAACATTAAAAATAATAGCGTGATAGCACATGCCTGTAGACCCAGAACACTTGAGACTGAGGCAGGGGGATCTGAAGTTCAATGCTCGACTGAGCTACATAATGACTAGACTATATAATGAGAAGACTCAAACTATAAATCTAACCCAAAATGTTAAAATTAACTATCACATTAACCACTGATGCACTGGGCAAGAAAACTCAAGAATTTTCTTTCTTACAGGCAAAAGAGGGTACCCCTTAATCTCACCACAGGGATAGAGACCCTGAAAATACTGCAGACACATACTGTCATATTCCCAGCTCAATGAGGAACAGAAGAGAAAATCCATTTAGAGGATAGCATTCTATTTTAAAAGTGAGTGCCCCTATGAGTTTTAAAAAGGATTCTGAGCTATAAAACCCAGGGAACAAAAAGTTCTAAGAGGTGTTACACAATTGTGTATAGAACATGAATACCCAGCAAGTTGACTGGAATATCCTGAAAGATTTCAAAATATTACCTAGGAATTACTACTATGCTTTTCTCTTAGATGTCTGTAGGCAACCAATTGTTCAACCTCAAAATAGGAAAAGAAGTCAATTCTTTCATAAAATTCTGGAAACCCTTACATTACAGACCTAACCTAGAATAAGAAAGACTATTGACCTGGACTATAACTTAGTAATTGTTACTTTAAACCTTCACATTAAAGCTGAGGTTGATGGTACATGGCCATGGTCCCAGTACTCAGGAGACTAAAGCAGGAGGGGTGTGAATTCTGAGCCAGCCTTGATTACATAGTAAGCTTGAGGTGAGCCTGGACTATATAGTAAGATTCTGTTTCAAGATGCAAAGAGAAACTGCAGTCTTAATTAGCATTGTGACTGATCACTATAAATTCTCTAAAAATATTTCTATCACAATAGATCACATTACTTAACAAATACCAGGGCATAATGTTTTGAATATGAAATGTCCCCCCACCAGCTCATGTATTGAATGCTTGGTTACCTGGATAGTGGTACTATTTTGGGTGGCAGAAAATTTAGGAGGAGGAACCTGTCTGCAGCAAGGAAGCTACAGAGGGCATGAGCATAAAAGTCACACCTTGTCCCTAGTCCCTTCTTTTCTCTATGCTTCCTGGCATCCATGAGGGCAGCAAACCCTGTCAGATGTTCCTACTGCCATGATGACCTGCATCACCACAGGTCCAGAATCAAGAGAGCCCGAGAACTACACTGAAACCAAGATCTGAAATAAATCCTTTTTCCCTTGTTTATGCCAAGGACTTTGTCACAGTGGTCAAAAGCTCAACTAGTACACATAGTTAAGAGAATACAGCCATTTTTTAAAGTCAAAAGTATGAAACATAAAATGCCAGCAGTGATAATCAATATCCATTTTCTCCACAGCAACCTAGGGCCTCTTTCTCACACCAGTCACTATATGACACTATCCTATGATGGTGATGACACTACATCACACTATCCTATCCACTGAGGCAGGCTGACCTACCAGAGGCTAGGAACAAAAGCAAAGGTGCAAAAAGGATACACATACTTCCAACGTAGTATAAGTGACTTTCAGAAGCCCTGGTTATTCAAAATCCCTTAGACCTCTGTGGAGACTCCTCCTCTGTCAACATGGATTATATTTTACATTATATCAATATTCTTTCAATGTGTTTTTTTTTAATGTGAATCATACCCTAAAAGTTTTTAATTTTATTTTTACCATGAACTGAGATCAGACAATTGGGCAGCATCTGTAGACAGCATGTTGGTGGAGCCTTGGAAGAGTCTCTTAGGCTGGCTTTCTGTCTCCATTTCCACTATAACAAAAGAAATGTAGCTACCATAAAACAATTTTAAAAACCCAGGACTGGTGCTAAAATGAGGGTGATATTTGCTTAACCAAAGCTCAGAATGGCTCAAAACTATTATGTAAAAGCTCCTGCATGTGCCAGGAGTCCAGAGTTCCAGAGCCTAAGGCAAGAAGATCAAAAGTTCAAGCCTAGGCTACATAGCTACTTCCCGGTCAGCCTATACTGTATAAGATCTTTTCTCAAAACACCTCCCCCTCAAAACAATGACTTTCCCACGTGCTTTAACATAAAAGAAATGTTTCTATATACCTTAGCAAAAGGGAATAGTTTTAATTTTTTCATACATTATGCAATAGCATCTCTCTCTCTCTCTCTCTCCCTCCCTCCCTCTCTCTCTCTTTCTCACACACTCTTTTTAACTTGAATCACAGCTAACTGATGGGAGAAATAAAATAAGTATTCCCAAATGGTTAAAGCTCACAGTAAATATTTTATGACTAGCAAAGAGCACTTATTTTAAATATTTTGATGTTTTAACATTTCTTCAGACAGCAAAAAAACACATTTTCTGATAATGTGGAAATAGAAGGTTAAGTGAGATGATATACTAAAAATAAATACATAGTTGAAAGAACACCTGTGTGAAAGCAATAATAGTAATTCAATTCACACATTTGGAACTAAACTGGTTTACTCAACCCTGTAGATTTTCACAGAACCTGTAATCATAAAACATGGTGTCAATGGAAATAGTGCTTAACCTTTTACTGCTAACTATTAAGGGTGGGTTACCTCATCTCCCTACCCCAACCTCTGTTTTCATTTCAAATGTGCGTAGTCATTGGATTTGATGGTCTTTACCTGAGCTTAAAAATAAAACAGAAGACGCCAAAACCATACAATGGAAAAAAGACAGCATATTCAACAAATGGTGCTGGTCTAACTGGATATCTACATGTAGAAAAATGTAAATAGATCCATATTTCTCACCCTGTATAAAACTAAAGTCCAAGTGGATCAGAGCCCTCAACATAAAACCAGACACACTAAATCTGTTAGCAGAAAAATTGGGGAAGAGCCTCAAAATCATTGGTAAAAGATACAATTTCCTGACAGAACAACAACAGCACAGGCTCTAAGATAAACAATCAATAAATGGGACCTCATTAAAATGGAAAACTTCTCTAAAGCAAAGGACACTGTCATCAGAAAAAAACGACAGCCTAGAGACTGGGAAAGGATCTTCACCAACCCTATATCTGACAGAAGGCTAATATCCAGAATATATAAAGAACTCAAGAAGTTAAACAGGAACAAATCAAGTAATCCAATTAAAAACTGGGATACAGAGCTAAACAGAGAATTCTCAATAGAAGAATATCAAATGAGAAAAACTTAAAGAAATGCTCAACATCCTTAGTCATCAGAGAAATGCAAATCAAAACAACCCTGAGATTTTACCTTACACCCATCAGAATGGCTAAAATCAAAAATTCAAGTGACAACACATGCTGGAGAGGTTATAGAGAAAGAGGAACCCATTACATTCTCCATTGCTGGTGAGAATGTAAATTTGTACAACCACTTTGGAAATCAATCTAGCACTTCCTCAAAAAATCAGGAATAGTATTACCTCAAGATCCAGGTATACCACTCTTAGGCATAAATCCAAAATATGCTCAAGTATACAACAAAGACATTTGCTTAACCATGTTCTTAGCAGCTTTATTCATGATAGCCAGAATCTGGAAACAACCCAGATATCCCTCAACGGAGGAATGGCTGCAGAAATTGTACACATATGCAACGGAATACTACTCAGCAATTAAAAACAAGGAAATAATGGAATTTGCAGGCAAATGGTTGGAACTAAAAAAGATCATCCTGAATGAAGTACCCCAGAAGGAGAAGGACACACATGGTATATGCTCACTTATAAGTGAATATTAGAAATATAATATAGAATAAACATACTAAAATCAAAAGAAGCTAAGCAAGAAGAAGGAACCTGGGTAAGTTGATCATTCCTCATTCAGAAAGGCAAACAGGATGGACATCAGAAGAGGGAGAAAACAGGGAACAGGCAGAAGCCTACCACAAGAGGGCCTTTCAAAGACTCTACCCCGCAGGGTATTAAAGCAGATGCTGAGACTCATAGCTAAACTTTGGGTAGAGTACAGGGAATCTTATGAAAGAAGGGGGAGATGAAAGACTTGGAGGGGAGAGGAGCTCCACAAGGAGAGCAACAGAACCAAAAAATCTGGGCACAGAGGTCTTTTCTAAGACTGATATTCCAACTAAGGTCCATGCATGGAGATAACCTAGAACCCCTACACAGATGTAGCCAATGGCAGCTCAGTGTCCATGTGGGTTTCCTAGTAAGGGGTATAGGGGCTGTTTCTGACATGAACTCAGTGACTGGCTCTTTGATCACCTCCTCCTGAGGGGCGAGCAGCCTTACCAGGCTACAAAAGAAGACAGTAGAGCCAGTCCTGATGGAACCTGATAGGCCATGGTCAGATGGAAGGGGAGGAGGACCTCCCCTATCAGTGGACTGAGGGAAGGGCATGGGACGAGAAGAGGGAGGAAGGGTAGGATTGGGAGGGAATGTGGAAGGGGGCTACAGCTGGGATACAAAATGAATAAATTTTAATTAATAAAAAATAATTAATTAAAAAATAGAACACAAAAGCCAATTTAAGATACATATGGGGAATATATCTGTAATCCCAGCATTTCTGAAGTAGAGGCAGGAACATAGCCACCAAGTCTGAGAGCAACTAGGCCACCCAAGGTGCCATAACAGTCTGTACTACAGAGGAAAACCATCTCTCAACACAATCAAGGAAGTAAGCAAAAACTAAACCTATTGGATTCTATACCTATCTATTCCTCAGCAGGACCATGGAACTGAACTTAAAACTGTATGAACTACTTATGGCAGAAAAAGACCAAACAAGTACACCTGTAACCTTCATTTCCCCTATTATGAATTACATCATATTAATAATCTTCTGGAGCTTTTGTGAAAATAACTGAAATTAATAAAAACTGTGTTTCTTATTTGCTTTGTTTGGTGCTTTAATTTGCAACTTTAAAACTATATGGTTTTTAATTCTGGCAAAGAATCCCTCCACCTACTGGTAGATATTGGAAGAGCTACTAAACAAACTAATTCCATAAACTTTCTGGGCAGATTTTACTTTAATAATAACAACAACAATAGCTTTCATTTAAAGTGTGCTTTCACCTAATACTCCTGAGAACATTCCTAAAGTTATAAAAAATTCTTTGCAAGATTAAATAAAGGAGCTTGGTTCACTAAATACAAATATTGTCACTATTAGGATCTACTCTCCAAAGCACATCATCTTTAATATTGTTTTGAGAATTTCACACATGTATAAAATTAAATGACCATACACCCCCAATTCCCATCTCTTACTCTCCATGTGTCCTCTCTTCATGTCCCCATTCCAATTTCATACTGTCCTATTTTTTTTAAAATAACCTTCTAAGTCCAGTATTGTTCATGTGTGCATAAGTTTGAGGCCATCCATTAGAGTACGGGCACCATGCAAGTGGCTACAACTTTGTATAGTCCTTGGTAGTCTAGACCTCACTATGTAATCCAGCCTGGCTTCAAACTTACAGTGATTCTAATGCCTCTAACTTCTAACTACATGGAACAAAATGCTATGTATATCCCCCTTTGCCCAACATCTCTGTGCCACTGTGTCTCTCCTCTCTTCTTTCTTTCGTAAACAAGGTTTCATGTATCCATCCTAGGCGGGTTTTAAACTTCCCAGGTAGCAGAAAATGACCTTGACCTTCTGACCAGCCCTATTTGATTTTTTTGAGACTGAGCCTCATGAAGCTGAGTTGACCTTGAATGTCACTATGTAGAAGAAGAATGATCTTGAAATCTTTATGTTTTGTTGTGGTTTTGTTTTTTTGTTTCTTCTCTGTGTAGCCTTGGCTGTCCTGGACTCACTTTGTAGACCAGGCTGGCCTCAAACTTACAGCAATCCACCTGCCTTTGAGTCCCTTCATGCTGGGATTACAGATCTTGAACTCTTAGGCCTCCTGTCTCCACTACCCAACTGCTGTGATTACACAGCTGTGTGCCACCATACCTAACTATCCTTAATTCTAAGTTGCCTCAAATACAATACTTCTTAATTTGTGTGTGAGTCTAGGACTAAAAAGATTTCACCAAAGCCATTTTCCTAGTATTAATTTATTTGTCCTAAAGGTGATCTGGATTGCTTATTTTTGAGGGTTTTAAAAAAACAAATGTGTTTATTTTTAGGTGTACGAGTGTTTTACCTCCATATGTGCATGTGTACCATGTGTGTCTGGTGCCTGCAGAGGCCAGAGGAGAGAAGGGATCAGATCTTGTGGAACTAGAATGGTGCTTGGAACTGAATCCAGTTCTTACAAGAGCAGTTTGTGGTCCCAACCATTGAGCCATCTTTTTAGCCTGCCCCACCATACTTTTTGGTTTCTGGAGGCAGTTTTACTCTATATCCCAAGCTGGCCTAGAACTGGCTATGGCCAGGATAGCCCCAAGCCCTGGCAATTCTATTGTCTTAGCTTTCCAAGTACTTGGATTATAGGCATGAACTACCACACTAAGCTAAACTACTGTTTTAAATGTTTAAAAATTTATTTTTATTATTTTAATAATGTGTGTGTCCATATTCATGTTGACATGTGCATGAGGATCCTTTGGAGTACAGAGGTATCAGATTCCCCCTGGAGTTACAGGTGTCTCTATAAGCCACCTAATGGAGATTCTGGAAACAGAACTCAGGTCCTTTATAAGAGCAGTATGCTCCCGTAATCACTGAACCATATGTCCAGGCCCTTAATTGTATTTTTTTAATGCAACTATTAAAACTCTTCTTTAAAATGACATTTGCTTATGCCTGTAACTTGAAGCATTTTCCTTTGGTAATTCTAGTATTTCAGGTTTTACATTAAGGTCTTTGATCAATTTTGAATTGGTTGTGTGTGTGTGTGTGTATGTTGCATGTGCAAGTGCTGGATAAAAGATATGGATCTAGTTTCATTCTTCTAAATGTGGCCATCCAGTTTTCCCAGTACCACTTGCTAAAGAGGCTGTTATTTTTTTTAACACCTTTACAACATTAGGTAGATGGGTGCTGGAGATATGCTCTGCGATTAAGAGCATCTGCGGCACTAGCAAAGGACCCAGTTCAGTTCTCAGCATCCTATGGTGGCTCACTCAAACCCCATCTATCCACTCAAACCCCAGTTCCAGGGGATCCCACACTCTCTTCTGCTCTCTACAGGCACTGTATGTATGTGATGCATACATATGCAGGCAAAACACTCATCCACACAAAATAAAAACAAATCTTGTAAAAATTATGCATAAGTAACTCTGTAGGTCTATAAAATGTACAGATTCCAGATTAAATTTTTAAATGTACAATTATGTGGATGTAAGTGTGGGTGTGAGTATAGAACATAAAACTAGAAAGGGTATAAGGGAAAAAGAAGTCTCAAGTACACAGAAAAAAGGGAAGTTAAAAAAATACAAATAGGGGCTGGAGAGATGGCTCAGTTGTTAAGAGCACTGTCAGTTCTTCCAAAGGACCCAGGTTCAATTCCCAGCACCCACATGGCAGCTCACAACTGTCTGTACCTCCAGTTCCAGGTATTCTGACAATCTCACACCAATTCATATAAAATAAAGTTAAATAAATTATATTAAAAAATACAAATACAAATAACAAAATCATTGAAGGAGGGCAAAAGGAGAAGAAAGGGATGAGGTAGGATAGTAGAAGAGGATCAACATAAACTAGGCATGTATAAAATGCCATAAAGAAACACATTACTTTTGATGCTGATCCAAAAAAGAAAAAAGAAAACTATAGACAGGTGATAGCACCTACTTATAATTACAACACTTGGCTGGTAGAAGCAAAATGACCAAGAGTTCAAGTCTAGTCTTGGCTAGGTAGTGAGTTTTTTGCCAGCCCATGTGACATAAGACTGTATCAAAACCAAAACAAAACATTAATAATAAAAAGCAAAATAAAATGGCACCTGCCACTTCTAATGATACAGTCAAATTGCCAGTAATAATGACTAAAGCAGTATCAAATATCTTGGCCATGTTTCAACAAACACATGCTATCAAGGGCCTTACATAAACATCTAAAACTACTACTGACTGAGAAAACTTTAGTGTGTTGTGCTTCAAAATAAGCTATTGAGAGCACCAACACACATCAAAAACATTACAGACTTGACCATTTGACAACTTTACTTTGCTGAGGCATGATTTGCTGATGGGAAAGTGAATGCCACCTGAGCAAACTCCATTTTTTACAGATCTATATTCTATGCCAGTATAGATTACTGCACACAAGTCAGGTTGTGCATCTCTTTTTTGTAAGAAGGGAATTAGTTTTTGGAATATATATCAGTAATATGAATATGATAATATAATTCATATATGAATTATAAAAATATAGACAATAAAAAACAGTTAATGTATATAACTTAGAATCCATAGCGCATGCTGAAAATATTTAACATTTCTTTAGAAAAAAAAAAGGAATTCTGTGAATTCACATCAGACAAGAATTCTAGTTTCTAATTCAAGCTTGGCTAAATTCGATAACAGAAGTGTGATGAATCCTTTCTTCCAATATTACTAAAATGAATGTATACATACTTAGTAAGGTGTACAATGTCATGATCTAGCACATATACAAACACATCTATTACCACATCTACTTACCCTTTTTCATGGTGTGTGATAAGAACATTTAAAATCTATAGTAATAGCTGGTTTAGAGTATGTAACACAATATCATCAATCATGTTGCCACATACCTTTTCTCTTAAGAGGACCAAGAACACTGGGCCTAATGCACTTGACTAGATTCTGACTCCTCCTGCTTTGACAAATAAACAAACATGATGATATGAAGTGCTTCCAAGATGAAAAAGACTAAAATACAGCATTTCATCCCACCAAGTAAGTAACATGGATAGTTATATAGACAGAAACAGAAAGTACTTGTATCGTAGGGTGATTTGAGTCAGCATATGATATGAACAAAACATGGCATTTTAGCCATTTAAAATATTCTTATATTAAGAATATTAAGCATTTAAAAATACTCATAATTGCTCAAAGAAGAGTCTTACTAAAAAAAGTTATTTGCATTTGTATCTATAATCTCTAAATAGTATTAGGGTATGCAAGAGTGTGTGTGTATTGGGGGGAGTAGCTTAATGGTGAAGTGTTTGCCTAGGATTCATGAGGCTCTTGGTTCAAGCCTCACAATCAATCCATCAATCAGCATTAAGTCTCAAACACAGAATCTTGTAAAATGTTAATGCCTCAACATAATCAGTAAGCATATGGTTGTTCACTATGAAGTCCTAACAATTTTGATGTCTGAAAAATTCCATAACAAAATTAATTTGATGAAAAAAGTAATGAATGATACTCTAGCCACATTTAGCTCTGTGTGGGGTGTGTGTGTGTGTGTGTGTGTGTGTGTGTGTGTGTGTGTGTGTGTGTTATACATGCATGTACACGTGCATGTGCAAGTTCATGTGCTTGTGTGGGAAAGCTCTTGCAGGCCAGAGAAGGATGGTCTGTCACTCTCTAGCTTATTCCTGTGAGATAAGGTCTCTCATTAAATCTGCAGCTAGGCTAAGCAGCTAGCATACCTGAGCTATCTTCCTAGACCCACCTCCCCAGGTGCTGGGGCTATAGAGGCAAGTGGCCACAGTGAGCTTTTCATGTGAGCTCTGGGATCTAATTTCATCATGCTTACAGAGCAAGCAGTATTACCCACTGAATCATCTTTGCAGTTAAATTTGAATTTAACATTCAAATTCACTTACCTTGAAAAATGTCTCGGATCCGGAACAGGACTTGATGGCATATCATTGCTACTCACAAACATTTGCAAAGAGGGCAAAAGGCACTGCTAAAGAAGCACATGTACCATTAAAACAGTTAGAGCATTTCAGTTTTCCAAGGGTGCTTTTTTTTCATTCTGTTGTTTTTCAAAAGGTTCTTTTGAAATATGACAGCAACTGTATAGCTATCCAAGTGCTTTATACATATGATGTTTTCCCAATGTACTACCATAGGTTTTCATTGCTTCTTCTAGTCTATGGAGACTTTGAAAGTGAGTTGGATTGTGCCCATAAACAGCTTGCTGAGAAAAAGGACAGTTAATATCTTGTCGACATCCTACCTTTCCAAATCCTCTGGTTGGCGAAGGCGCTGGACAAACTGGAATGGAGCCAATCCTCTTTGGAGAACATAGTATCTCTGGCTTGTCAAAATCACTGTCACTCTGTAAATATAAAGTGTTATTCTCATTCAGCATATCACAGCTCTTATTCACTACTACAGTAACATCCCCATCTCTGAAGAGTACATATGGATACATTCAAACATTTTGCTGATAAAGCAGAGATCAAAACTGAGAATCATTCTAGAAGCAAGGACAATGGTCTATTAAAGAATCAACCAAGTCAGTTGAACAACACAAAGATTTCTGGAAAGTTACAAAACAAGCACACATCAGAATACTTTACCAGGCTGAAGCTTTCATCCCAAAACTGGCTTATCTGCATCCCTGATGGTGCTTCCCTAAAAAAAAAAAAAAAGAAAAAAATCATCAGGGCTTACAAATGAGGCACATTAGGGGCTAGGCCTGCCCTTGCTAACCACTAACCTTTCATCTGAAGTTTCTCTGTTCATCATATCCAGGCCTTCTTCCTATAAGGATAAGCATAGGTGCTAAATCATAATTTTCCTCCATGTGTCTATTTCAAATAAAACTGGAATAATCCCAGGTGATCAGAACTCTCATCCTCAGATTGTCAGCCATGCCAGTATTTTAAAGTACACTCAGAAGTGCAATGCTTCCAGCTAACTACAGATGCACCCTTGATAATCTATAAGATTTTAGTTTTAAATTTCTGACCTGGGCTAGTAAGATAAAATGACCCTTTATATTTGGCATAGTCTGCTACTAAGAATAGGATTAGGTGAAGGTGGCAGCAGCTAGGAAGAAAACATTTACTATTTTGTGCATCACAAAGCATCAGTCACTGTCAGTGTTACAACCTCTTCCTACAGAATTCTTCATATTCTTAGAAACTTAGCTCTGTAACCCCATAAACATTAATACACTAAAGGCAATGCATGCATTTTCTTGAGAAAGCACACCAGGTGTCCAACCTCAAGGCACCATCTGCTGCTAGACCAACAATGACTTTAGCACTTTTCCCAAATGAATGGAAAGCTGTGCAAACTTAAGGGGAAAAGGACTGGGCCTTAGAAGTATTCATTATCCCACTAATCTGAAATAAGGAGCTATGTGAAATGGGAAAGAAAGACGCCAGTGCGATCGATTTTTATTACTGATGCACTAATGAGTAAAGATAGGCCCAAAACCCAACACCACATTTTGTATATGATTAATGTTCTCGGAAGTACTTTAAAATGGCAACAAGGACATTTTGCTTCCAACTCTAAGGTTTGATTTCTAATACCATCACCACAAGCCATAATAGTTAAAGGAAGATCAGCATTAGAGGGAGAGCGTTTGCTTCACATGCACAGTGCCCTAGGATCAATGAAAGAAGGCAAGGTTAAACTTCAAAAGAATTGCTGCTTTCCCTTACTTCATGTTTTTCTTCTCTTTCAGACATGATTTCATGTAGCCCAGGCTGTATTTGAGCATGTTGTTTAGCTGATGATGACCCTGCATTTCTGATCCTCTAGTCTCTACCTTTTGAATATCTGATGTATGGAGTACTGGGGATGAACTAGGGCTTCATACATGCCTGGCAAGGACTCTATCAATGGTCTCAAGCCCTCATTTTTTAACATCACAAAACTGAAATGATTTGGAGGCTAAATTATGTTCCTTCAAAATAATTACAATCCTATAACAAAATGTAAGATATAAATTCAAACCAGTGGATCTTTCAAGATTGTTACAGTTGTAATGTAAATAATTACTATTTTCTCCTAAGAAATACAAATGAACTTTATAAGAGTATAAAATCAAATAAGACAATTATTCTGATTAAGACGCCTTATGCTATTATAACTTAGAAAAAACAATTGTAATGTAGTGAGCTATTTAACAATGGGCTTTTTAGGCAAAAGCTAATTCAAGTAAAATTATCTACTAAGATATGATTTTACCTTAAAAGACATGTTCCCATTACCCATCCCTTTTAGTAAAATCTTTTACAAAGTCCTTTTCTTTGCATTATGAAAGCAATACATGCTTACCACTGAACTTTTAATGAGTTCACTGAAAAATGATACACTACCAGGTAAGGAAATAAGTCAGGGTTGCTCTAACAGGCTGATGACAGGCTTGGTGGTAAAGTACACATATGTGTGTCAGTTAGAAAAGGTAGTGAAATTATTAGCAAAGCCAAAGTGAGGAGGAAGTCAGAAATTTAAATGCAATATTGATAAAATATACAATTTCTCAATCTTAGATAAGACTACAAAGTGGCTCAGAAACAGGGAGAGATAGGAACAGAACTATGTCTAGAACCAGAAACAAGAATAATTTATCAGCTGAAAAAAGAATCTTCTAAGACCTTTACGGAGATGATGTCTAGTAGTGTTAAGGAAAGCAAAGAGCTCAAGTGGGATAAGAAACGAGGCCCCTGATACTGACAATTAAGTGGGCAGTAGTGACATTTTCAAGGACAGCCTTTGATGGATCCTTTAAAGAAGCAGCAAGATTCCCAACTAGCTGGAAATTAGGAGACAAGAAGCTAGAGGCTAGATTATTCTTTGAAAAAGATCAGGGAAAGGAAAGGAAGAACAGACCTAACATGAAAAGGGGCCATTATCCCTTTCAATAGGGATATTGAGAAAAGGAAGTGGGAGCCAAAGACTTAGAAAGAAAGACACTGAAGAGACTGACTGAGACTCCTAGTTTAAGATAGAGACAATAGCTACACAAAGTGACAAGGGCATCAGGAAAATAGATTAACCACCAGGGAGACGTGCCAGATGTGAAGAAGACAAGGCCTGTTTTAAGGAGAGAAAAAAACTCGTATTATAAAAGACAGGTGTCAAGCCTGGAGAGCTGGCTCAGCAGTGAAGAGCTACTGCTCTTGCAGAGGGGCTGGGTTCAATTCTCAGAACTCATATGGCAGCTCACAACTGGCAGTAACTCCAATTCCAGGGCATCTGACACTGTCTTCCGTCCCCCTTGAGCTCCTGAATGCATATGGTGAAAATATATTGATGCAGGCTCAAACACACATTAAAAAACATATGTATTTAACCAGGCATGGTGGCACACACCTGTAATTCCAGCACTAAGAGAGGCAGAGGTAGGCGGATAGATCACTGTGAGTTTGAAGCCAGCCTGGTCTACAAAGTGAGTCCAGGAAAGCCAAGGCTACACAGAGAAATGCTGTCTTAAAAAAACTAAATAATAATAATAAATAGTAATAATTTTAAAAACTAATAAATAGGTGTCTGCTTTATCTGTGAAATAAGAAGCATCTTTGGCTGCAAGTGAACAGTGATAAAACAGGAAGGTAGCAGAGACTAAACAACAACAAAAGACATAGAATATAACTTTGGAGAACACGGAATCAGTGGTGCCTTAGCCCCTGGAAAGGATTAATCTTCCCTTTCAGACTACCCATCTTTTTAACTTCTCTCCTTGTACTCAAGGCAATACCACTCTCCTGATCACAATGAAACACAATTTCAGTCAGTTGGAGTCCTCCTTCTCCCATAATTGTTATTTTAAAAAGTTGTAATAGTGAAAGGCTGTGTAAGCAGAATAATTACCTTGTTTGGTAATTATACCATTACACATTCATTTGTATTTTCTTATAGAAAATAGTGATTATTTACTTTATGACCGTTACAGTCCTGCAAAATCCACTGGTTTGAATCATATCTTACACTTTGTGACTGGACTATGATTATTTTGAAGGGATGTAATTTGGCCTCCAAAGCAACTGCTAGCAACTATTAGCAGACCTTTAACCCAAAACTACCCTTCTGATTTGCTGCCCCTTACACAACACTGAGTTGCAAGCTTAATATAATTGTATATAAATTTTTAGATGATTCACAAATATATAATCAGTTGGCAAATTACAGAGATCCTAACTCTGCTTGTCTTTTTACCATCTCATCCTTTCCATTTCATCTACTAACATTTTACTCTTTGCTTGTTACTATGGGACAAGAATGAGCACATTAAGATTTCTACAGGATGCTGTAATATTAGTAAAGAGTGTCATTAATATGATGGTGTGGGAACGTGTACAAAGGAGATATAAGGATTAAAGTAGGTTTCAACGAAGCAAAAAAAGCTAGAAAGGAGGAAGATGGGGTTGATGGGTAGCATAAGGATCAGGGAATTTCCGTGGCCCTTTAGAAAATGAGACAGCCAGAGCAAAGGATGGCAAGGAATGACAGATGTGCCTAGACCAGAGCGGATAAGAATCTTCACCTCTTATAAAAGAAATAAGTGAAGTGTAGAGAGGCAAATTCGCTTTTCTTGTCTTTGCTATGCTTCTCTTATCAGGAGCACAGCTGTAAAACACATAAGAACATTTTCATAAACCCAACAAAAATAAGTAGTTGTATTTTCAAGTATTGTCAGGGAAGTAGGTGAAACAAATCAAACCTCTAGATAGCTAACATACCCTGTTTAAGTATTTTTAGCCAGTTCAATGGAAATCTTTCTAAAATGTGCTCTACTATCCCCCTCCTCAGACAGGTCATACCAAACAGAATGGCACTAGAGGATCTCTAGTCTAGTGCCAGCTCTGCCACTTACTACTGTGTGATCCTAAGCAAGTCACTTAAGTCATCTGAGTCACTTGCTGCTGTTTCTAATTGGGAAAAGAAATACCTTTTGCCTTGTCTCTTTTCTGCTTCATGGAGACTGCTACATGAACTAAATAAGTGAAAGTACTTTGTAATGTAAAATACCATCAAAGTGTAGATATTAGTGGAAATTAAGAGAAGGTTAATGACCTGAGATCTTTAAGAATATTACCATATGTTTCTATACTAGTGACACTCTCGGGACTAGCAACAGGCTCTTAGCCCTTATGCCAAACCACAAACTTATTGGGAAGGGGGAAAAAACTGTCTGCTTTTCTGCTTCTCCCTCTCCTCTCTTGCTAACAAGTATGAGCAGACCTTTAACCCAAATGTACCCCTTCTGATTGGCTGCCCTAACACATCACTGAGTTGGAAGCTTATTATAATTGTGTATAAATTTTAAATGATTCAGAGGTCAGAGAAGCTGTCCTATAAATAAATGGGTAAACTTTTGTGCACAGACTATGGAAATCTAGTACAGCTAGTTAGAGATCTGTGTGCTTACATCTCAGATGTCTAAGGCTGCCAGGTGAGTGAGCTCTGCATGTGAAGTGCTACTATATAAAAACCTCTTCATAGGGCTGGAGAGATGGCTCAGCGGTTAAGAGTACTGTCTGCTCTTCCTAAAGAACCCAGGTTCAATTCCCAGCACCCACATGGCAGCTCACAACTGTCTTAACTCCTATTCCAGGGGATCTGATCCCCCTCACACATGCAGACAAAACTCCCATGTACATAAAATAAAAATAAATATTAAAATGTTTTTTTTTTTAAAAAAAACTCTTCATAATATTCCCCAATACAGCTATCTAATCTAGTGATTTCCAACAGCTCTGGCTACAGAGAAAAATATACACTCATCCACTCTTCTGGGAATATAAGCACATATTTTACAGAGGTCTTTATTTTAGACAGCCAGTGTTATCTGACAGATGAGTGTTGTAAACACTCTGTCACTATTTGATTTTTTTATATCCTAGGAGAAATAAAGACCACTGTTCTCAGCTATATTTGAAGGTTATTACTGATTTACCTCACAACTGTGATACAAGTAGAAATAAATAACAATGAATTTTTTTTCTACAAATACAGTTCTACAGCAATGAAAGCAATTTTAACCCTCCCTCCAAATCACTCCTAAAAGCTGAATGGCCCTAGCAAAACTAGTAAGCAAGATGGGTAAACAAAATCTTTTTCAAAAAACAATTGTGCATCGCACATAATTTCCCAGAAAGTGTTATATTTGAAAGTATTTTCTCCAATCTAAATCACTCCAGACACTTACGTTGATACTTACCAAGCTATGATGGTTCATAAATGTTGTACTGTTCCAAGTTCTAAGTGGATATGGCTCAAAATCCTGTGAAAGGTCACTGAAAAGTAAATAAAATAAAATAAAATGGATTAGCATCTTCAAAAGAAAGCTGTCTTTCAACTGAACTCAACACCCTCCAATTTGTAGCTAACAATGGAATCTTCAATGGTTCCTCATTTCCTACTGACAAGGAAGTCCTTACTGTCCTCTTAGTAGGGCCAGGCTGGTGTACAACGATTCTGCTTTTGTTAGATACTTATCTCCTGAGTAGTTAGGGGACAGCTCTGAGAGGTATTGGGTAGAGCTCCAGACTGATTCATTCCAGTTGCTTTGGGTCAGAAGTGCACCCCCAAACCAGTTCTTTGTAGATGTGAACAGCTCATCTCTTTATCCCAGAGAAACATGACAGTTACTTACTGTTCTGCCTGTGCTACCACCTGAGAAGAACTGGTGAGCCCTATTCTTAAGACTGAAGTCTCACCAACATGAGAAATACTCTCCTGCCTCTGAATACCTATGTCCAACTGAATAGATATAACTGAAGAGGTTTGCAATTTTTTCTTTCTCCTCATGTTTGACTCACATGCCATCCCTGTCCTTCCACACTTAACCCAAAAGCCTTGCCTCCATGAAGGGATGGCACAAACCCCTCCTCATTCTGCAAATTAATGCAATAATTTCCCACTTTGAACTCAAAGAAACTAGGAGATGGCACACTTCTTGAAACAGCCCCTTGCTTTTTAAAGACATGATTTTGCTATGTCATCCAGGCTGATTTTGAACTCCTGGGCTCAAGCATACACCATGACAGCTGGGTAAATATTCTTTTTATTTTTGATTGTAGAAATAGAGATAGAATCAAGAACCTTGCATATCCTCATCAAAAGCTGTACTCTGAGCTACATCACCATACCGATATGGTACAGATGTCTGTATGTTTCAGCTGATGAAGCCATGGCCTTCCACATGCTATGCAGACAAGTACCTACCACACAGCTACATACTGAGCTCACCTTCTATTAAAAAAAAAAAGAGGGGCTCCCCAGCACCACAAAAGAAGTAGAAAAAGGGAAAGAAATAAAAAAGTGTAAATGTGTATTAAATCTCCAGAGAGGTGCTTTATTCATCTTTGTATAATATCCCTAAAGTGCCAAGCAGCCTGATCTGCCCATGAATTCAAGGAAGCCAGTCATGGTGGCACACTCCTTTAATCCCTGAAGAGGCAGGCGGATCTCTGTGAGTTGGAGGCCAGACTGGTGTACAAATCCAGTCCAGGATAGCCAAGGTTACACAGAGAAACCCTCTCTCTGAAAAAAAAACAAGAAAAAAAAAAGAATTCAAGGATTTTCAAAACTGGGCTCTAAGATACCAGTGACAATACCTGTTTCAGCTATCCTCACTTTAAAATGAGAAAACAGATGCAAAAAGCTTAAATAACTTACTCATGAGCACAGCTAAGTGGTGACAACTGAAACCAAATGGTCTCTTCTCTCCTTTTCTGTCAATTCATGCTATCTTTCAAGTAATTACTTAAATTGTGGCTCACAAAAGTGTTTTTTTTTTCCTTAATTTTCTAAATGCAGGTCAGTGGGACAGCCCAAGGCCTTGGCAGTTGCTTGCTTACCAGACTCTCAGAAAACAAGGGAGGAGGTGAGGTATCAACGAGACAAAAATAGACAGTTTCCTCTTAATATCCAAAAATTACTTGGTGATGCCAAGAACCACACAAGAAATGCAACTGTCACTTCATCATTGCCTCAGTTTCAAAATCATATTTAAATCTAGAAAAAAAAAGTACTTGCCCCCTCTGTAAAAAACTGATTTTATAATCAGTTCAATCGGTGGCAAAGCATTATCAAGCCTTCGACTGTGCTTGAAAAAATGTTTGGCGCTAATATTACTCCCATCCTCTGCTCTATACTAATGCCCTCTCTGGAGTCTCAAAATCTACCTCAGATGAATTGTCTACTTACAAAAGTGAAATGTGATAGTTTCACTAGGAGAGCAACCAGCCTTCACTATCACAGCTTTTACTTAAAAACTCCTTGGTGTCTTGTTCACAAGAAAAGAGAACACCCGGTCACTAAAATTAAAGGAGTGATTTTTTTTCCCATTATTTTCTCAAACCTGTGTTTCACTGACCTAACTACAAACCATCTCTTTTTTTCTTTTTATTCACTGCAGCTTTAAAAACTGAAAGCACTGTAACTAATCCAAATCACTTAATAGGATATGCCCACACCATGTAATCCCAAGTTATTAGATAAACTGTGATTTCTTAAATCAAACCTGTTAATGCCAGGGTTCCTAAACTCAGCTTAGAAACAGCAGTTCTTAGAGACAGGTGTCAAGTTACAAGCCTAAATAAGGGGGTTCAGCTTGATTTACTATGACGGAAATTAGCCAGGGCAAGCAACCTGTCAGCAGAGCCAGAAGGTTTCTATATACTCTTTTAGAACTGAACAACATGGGCCCCAGGTAGAGAAGGACCCCTTTCCCGACATGGCCAGAGTGTGAGGTCAAACTTTCCCTTCATCTAGAGGACCAAGTCACTGTAAAGAAAATAAAATCTCAACCCCTCAGTTTGGAGTTCAAATGAACTCGAACTGGTACTTTCGGGAAGGAAGCCTTCTAGCCCAGGACAAATCTCTGAATCCCACACTCTCTCTTCCCCAATTCAACTCACCTGAACACATGGTCAAGGGGAGCACTGTTGGATCGTCTCAGGGTGCCCCCATCAGAAGTTTCACCCTCAAAATCCAGTTCCATTTTTTCTTGAGCCATTTGGAGACCTGTTAGACCACACAGTTAGTAGTGCTCAGCTCTGAGTGCTTTACTATGGATTCACTACAGGACTGAGCGGCTGAGGTCTGGTAGCTGGGGGCGGGGTCTAATGGCCAGAGGCTTGATTTCGAGGGTGGAGAAAAGTAGGAGAGGAGGATGTAGTTGAGGAACGATGTGGCGGGGAGATTTGGGGGACAGAATAGTATGCAGTTTGTGTTGGGTGGGTGACAGGATGAAAAAGATGATGGGGGAAAGACAAAGGCGAGAGAACAAAAATGAGTCACAATGGTTGATAAAGGATAGAAGAAAATGCAGGGCATAGGATAAATGGAAGAGGACCGAAGTGGGAAAGGAAGACAAAGGTTAGCGGAAAGAGGAGCACAGGGACGGGAAAAGAGGAGGACGGAGTTTGTAGAAGAGGAAGACATAGTAGAAAAGGGAGTAAACTAGGCAGCCGCGGAACCCACGCTGTCATTTTTCCCGCCTAGGACCGCACACGCGGCTCGGCTAGTTACTGTGGCTGCCTTTACAGCGCTAGTAATAACTTAACAGCGGGCCAGGAGGCCTCGGCAGTTCCAACTCCACATACTCAGAGTCTCGGTCTCGTCCGCCATGCTCCAGGACCCCCCCACCCCCCGGGGCCCCTCAGCGGAGGGATGGCGGTTTTCGCTCCCTGGTCCCCGCCCTCCTTCAGAACTCGGAAAAGGGATTGGCCCTCTACGCCACAGAGGCGCTGTTTCTTTCTCTTGTTGGCTCTAACAACCGGCAGAACCCGACGGAGCTCAAACTGAATTCTATAACCTGCTGCTTCTTTCGCCTCCCACGCTTCACAAACCGGAGCCTCCACAGGTCCGGTTCTTCCGCATCTTGTAGCCCTTTGGCCGTTGCGCATGCGCTTGGCAGCTGCTCCAATGGCCTGCGGGCACGGCGCATGCGTAAGAGCCTCGCTCATAAACCACCCTTCAAAGGGGCGGGGCGTTACCAGGGGGGCCCAAAATCTTCCTGCGTGGCATTGGTCCAGGAACCCTGGCGCTTTATTTTGAAAAGAGCCAATAGTTTGGAAACTGAAGCATTACTTTTTAGTAGTTTAGACTATTATTCAAGTGAAAAGGATTTTCACATTGTTTCACTCCGAATTTGTACTTTTACCCCAGTCATTTCTTTACAAAAAAATGTTATGTTCATTTGTATAGGGGATAGTATGTGCGTGTGTGCGTCACCTGTGTGGAGGTCAAAGAGGTCACTGGATCTCCTCGAGCTGCAGTTGAAGGCAGTTGTAAGCTGCCCAGCTTGGGTGCTGGGATTGGAACTCGGGTCCCCGGCAACAGCAGTAAGAACCCTTAAACTCTGAGCCATGTCTTCAGCTTCCCTTACTCATTTATTAAATTCCTTGCTTGTGTTGGTTTTCTGTCTACCAAGGTCTGATTTATTTTCAGATTATCTGTTTTAGCTGCACTAGACAAAAATAAGAGATTCAGTTTCTTCCCAAGGCTTATGGAGATTCTAACAACCATAGTTACGATGCATTGTAAACGCTGGAATTGTTTTCAATAACCACATACATGGTGCTTACTATATGTGGGGCGGTATTATAACAACTGCAAAAATAACAATCATCTAATCTTTACCTCCTGAATATCCCTTCCAAGATATTACTACATCCTTTCAATCATCCAACTCTACAAAGTATGGGAAATATACTAGTTATGAAATTGGTTTTGAAAATATAGCAAAATGAGGCTAGAAAGACGGCTGAATGGTTTAGAGCACTTGAGGCTCTTCCAGAAGTTCTGAGTTGAGTTCTCAGCACCCACATCAAGCACCTTCACAACCTCCTGGAGCTCCAGCCCCAGCCAGAGAACTCCACACCTTCCTCTGGTCTCACTGGGCATCCACAGGCATGAGGCATAGTCTCACACACAATATAATATGTATACAATAAAAGTATAATATTATATATATGCTATACTTTTATATACATATAATATACACATATATAGTGCACATACACACATATACATATATAATGTATGTAATAATTCAGACTGAAGAAATTGCCCATTGGTTAAGAACATTTGCTGCTCTTGCAAAGAACAAGGGTTCAGTTTCCACTACCCACATCCGGTGGTTCACAACCACCAGTAACTTCAGCTCCAATGGGTCCAACGTTCTTTTTTTGCACACACGCACACAAATAAAATCATTTTTCTATTTAGCAAAAATCATTTTCTTATCTCCTCAATTCAGTTGTTCCAAATTAAAGTTACTCCACACAATTTTCATTTAACACCTCAGCATTTAGGCTTTCTGACTATAAAATGAGAGTTTATGTATATATTCGTTTGTTTTGTATATATGTGTCTATAGCCCACATTTGAAGCTAAGAAGACAACTAGAGGGAGTCAATCTAGTCTTTTCACCATGTGGGTCCCAAAGGTTAAACTCAAGTTGTCAGGCTTCACAGCAAGCTCCCTTACCTTCATGATCCATTTTTTTGGTCCTATTATGAAGACTTGCAAATAATTTTTGGATAGTTTCTTTATTGTTTTTTTTTTGTTGTTGTTGTTAAAAATCATTTAATAGTGTTTATTCTTTAGTCAAGCTTGCTGAAATTTTAAAGACATTAGACAAATTAAATTTAGAGGAATTTATTTAACCAAAGAAATGACTCATTGGTTGTTCAAAACTCTTCATTTCCTTTAATCTGCCAGCTACATTAAAAATATGACCTCCGCAATAAAGGCCAAGACAGGAGGGTTGTGAATTCAGGTCTGCTTGAGTTACATAGAAGAAAAAATCTGAAACTCTCTTAAATAAAACAAACAAAGATCAATAATATCTCTAACACTACATGGTATTGCCAATTCTCCTTTTCACTCCCTAAACCTTGATGGTTTAGATGCCAGATACTAGACTCAGACGCTGAAGATGCCAGGTACTAGAATCATGGAACATGGAGCAAATTTTGTATCTATATATTCAATTGTTATCTCAACATCTCAACACTGTCCATTCTTCTTGCTAACTATATAAATAGTTTTTCTCCAGTACCCACCAAGACATCTTTTGCTGTGTACATATACTATTTCTAGCTGTGACAAGTTAGTTTAGTGTCATGACTCTTGAACGTTAAAATGTTCTCTGAAAGGATAGTCTTTTTTTTGCCATCAATAAGAAATTTACTTATTTTAAAAAAATCCAAATGCTGCCATTGTCCAGATAATTTTAACAGGTTTATTTATAATTATTATAAAGTTGAACTGTTGAAATGTGTTCACTGAAACATTTTGCTTGCATTAATGCTTTACATCTTGCATTTATATTAAAAATTCACACACAAATGAAAGTGGAAAAACTGCCAATACTTGATTTCAATCCCCTATTTTTCCACTCGCAATTATATACTTAGGTACCTTTTGACCCCATGGAAAAAAATATCTAACATTCAGAACTACTGATAACTGGAAGAAGAGGAAAAAACTTTTTTTTTTTTTTTTTTTTTGAGAATGAAATGTTTACCCTCATAGTGGACTCTTAAGCATGTTCTCCGCGTCTGCGGCGTGCTGGCTGGATATCTTTTGGCATAATTGTTACACGTTTGGCACGGATAGCACACAGGCTGGTATCTTCAAAAGGCCAACCAGATAGGCCTCACTTGCCTCCTGCAAAGCACTAATAGCTGCACTCTGGAAGCGCAGATCTGTTTTGAAGTCCTGAGCAATTTCTCGCACCAGACGCTGGAAGGGGAGCTTGCGAATGAGAAGTTCAGTGGACTTCTGATAGCGTCTGATTTCACGCATCGCCACAGTACCAGGCCTGTAACGATGAGGTTTCTTCACCCCTCCAGTAGAGTGCGCACTCTTGCCAGCGTCTTTTTTAGCCAGTTGTTTCCTGGGTGCTTTACCACAGGTGGATTTGCTGGCAGGCTGCTTTGTACGAGCCATGGTAAGGGCACCTCCTTACTTAGCCCCTTTCTCCTTCAGCTGGAGCTCGGCAAGCTAGAGGCAGCGCTGGCGTTAGAGAGAGAGCGGCCGCGGCGGCGCTGGCCGCGGCGGCGCTGGCTGGCCACGGCGCAGCGATGGCTGCAAACACAATTCAAAGATAGTCTTAATTTAGTTGAGTCTCTAACTTTTAAGAGCTTAACTGCCAATGTCAGTTCATGTGGGCAATTACCATGTTGTGACTAAAAAAACATTTTTGCTTTAGTCATTCACAGCCTTGTGTCTTATAATATTTCCCCTTCCTCTTCTGAAATGATCTCTGAGCTTTGAGACACAGAAGTGTGACATAACTGTCCCATTTAGGAATAACTATTCTGCAATCTCTAATTTTCTGTACATTGTCCACTTGTGGGTCTCTGGACACCATCCTTTACTACAAGAAAAAGCTTCTCTGATAAGGGTTCAGAGATACACTTATCTCTATGGGTATAAAGTTTTAATAAGTTGATTTAATACTATGCCCACTTGGCAGAATAATAGCAGTAGATTCTCCACTAGGGCCTACTATAACCTAGATAGCCTCTATATTCTTCTGGTAATGGTAGCAGACATGAATTTTGTCTTTTGGAGTAGGCCTTAACTAGAATCAGAAAGTTGTTGGTTACTGTCTTAGTTTTCTATGGCTGTGAAGAAACACTGTGACCTAGCAACTTATTAAAAAACGGTTTAATTGTGATTACAGTTCTAAAGAGTTAGAATCCATGATGGTGGAACAAAGTCATGGCTAGCCCAATATTGACTCTGTCAAATGGTTATTAGTAATCACTTGTATGTAGGCCTACAATGAAAACGAGAGAAAGTCAGGAAAGGAGGATAAAAAATGTGCAGCTTGAAGAGAAAAAGAGTACTGGGAAATCTGATGTTGGATTCAAGGCTTGTGCAGAAAGAGATAAGGAGATCAAGGTAAGGCCTAGTCTGTATTGGGATGAAGTGGGAGGTGACCTCAGGGCAAGATCCAACCCAGATGATCCCACAATTTATGAAAGAAAAGACCTAAGAAAATTTATGTTTCTAAAAAACAGCAACAAATCAAAGCTGTTGCAAATACGGTTCAAGGAATTCAAGGGATTCAGGGTTCATCTTGGCAGTATTGTCACATGGTTCTGACCTTAGAGTCCTGAAGGATACATGAGCAAAGGAGTTATGGAATCATCCTCAATGGTTAAGGAGAACTTCTGAGGATAGGCATGGAGCAGGTAATTCTTTGCATGGAGGCATCAGGCTCTTAAAGTGAAGAGTGGATTATGTTGCAGACCCCAAAATGCTATAGATGCCCAAGTGTTGTAGTAAGTAAAAAATAAGTGTTGGGCTATATAAAGTTTATTATTAGCCCTAAGATTATCATGGTGGTATTATTTAACCTGCTATCACAAATAATAAGACGCAAACACCTGTTAAATTTATAATTGCCTTATTTACGTTGGGCCAGGCAGATATTTCACCTACACTGTCTCAATATCCTCACCATCCATCTCCCAGCCTCTATCCAATGCCATCTACCTTAATCCTCCTCATCCAGTCTAACTTCCATACATAATCATATGGTACTTGCTTTTGTTCTTCATATTGGCCTTTCCAAGACATTATTTGAGTCCTTTCTTTTGGCCCACACAGTTTCTTCTCTATGCTAACCCATCATGGTATCCTTCTTCCTCCTCTCTTCTGTTTCCTGTGATTTTCTCTTGAACAAAGCTTGGGAAACCTAGTCATACCTATCCCATTCTGTCCTGCCTAGATATACACTAATCAACGGATCAGGTATGTTTTAGGCAGGTTTACAAAACAAGGATAGGTGTAACCAGATCTTGAGGGCCAGTAACACACATCAGACCAACCTCCAACACCTGAGCCATAGAATGTCTGCCAA